CAACAATCCAAGTGTTGAGAAGATAAAATCACGAGCGTGACATGCATAATAGGTGGGAGTAGCGCGGTAGGCGAGCGCGCGGCGGCGCGATCATTTGTCTCTTTCATTTTTTGAGTACCTACCAAAACAAAATACGCGCGGCTGCCGAGTGCGCTACACTCGAAAAAGACCTACCTACTGTAAATTATAGCAATAATATGCATCATCACTAGATATTAGTAAAAATATGCTATTAGCCTTGAAAATCGCTAAAATATGCAAATGCATATGCAAATATGCAAATGCATATTATCCGGTCTCTAGTTATTACCGTCTTTACTTACTTCTTAATTACGCTACTTGCATCTTAATTCGATGCATAAAGACTCACAAAACCAAAAAATCTCTTAACCAAAATTTACAACACCCCCCCAAGATTCCTTAGTGATGGTTGCCAGGTGTACCAAGATTATGCTGGATGATGGGATCTTGGAAATGGCAGAATACATCTGAGGAATTGAGCCAGACGGAGTAGTCTTTAGGGACTGGGATATATGTTTCATTAGAAGAACGGTATACCAGGATGCGGCTACTTAGATAATGAACCAATTCGTAGCGGAAAGTGATTTAATTGTCATCACAACAGCAGAAGTGGCAAATGACCTGAGAGGCAAACTGTCCTGCCGAATCGGGGAAATAGTCAAATCCAAGGTCCGAACAATGACGTCCATTTTAGTGAATGGATTAAAGGAACAAGAGAGCTGCCACCGAATCATGGTAGATGAGGCTCTCATGAATCACTTTGGGGCCATTGGGATGGCTGCACGAATAACTCAGGCCAAAAAAGTTCTACTTATTGATGATATGAATCAACTAATAAGACGGGCGCTAGGTGAGGGTGAGTAGCGAATCCTGGACTATAACCTAAAATGGCAGTCAAGAAGGCGCCGGTTGTGGGCGCCCTTCTAGATGGGGACGGTTCATAAAGCCGCACAACTGCTGAAAACGTTCAGATATCAAAAAAATAAAATTAAGTAAAATCACGGGTTACTCACGTGAATAAACTGAGAAAAGCTCTACTAGTTTCGAACCACAGAGGGGTTCTTCCTCATGAGCAGCGTGCGCGGTCGAGACGACGTCGCGCAGGTGGTTCGAAACTAGTAGAGCTTTTCTCAGTATATTCACGTGAGTAACCCGCGATTTTACTTAATTTGGTATGTCTCACAATAGTTATTATAAAAAAATAAAATTACATAGATTAATTGTTGTGTATATGTTTTGGTGCTAAAAACTGTATATCTATTAAAAATACCTATAATTAATATAAAGTATTATAAGTTTATTAATAAGACTAATAAAATCCACTAGCACTACTGAAATTAGCTTACTGCTCTGCTGTCATGCATTCGTAAATGTTCTACAGTCGGTGGCGCTGTGAGCTGGGTCATTCCGTTCCTTACGAAATGGTTGATCGGACCGATTACTGGCCTATACGTCATAATATCTCTAAACAAGTACTTTGTGTAGTAATATTAGTGGTTGGCGTAGCATGTAAGATCTTTATAGCAATTATTTGACCATGAAAACAATGTACCTGTGATGTGACAAGGGCACGGATACAAGTCCGTGAAGAAATACAATTTATTATTATTAATAAAAAAAACAAAAAGTCTTGTTAAGTCTGCGTACAATTTCGAACAACCCATTATACGAATCCAAAACTATCTCAATCTACACAAGAATTCTAAAAATGTAACAACTAGTCAGTGTCGCCATCTACTGTCGATACAAAACAATACAGTGAACTTGAGTTTTACGGTATTCGTTTAGTTTCATAAATTTTCCGCTAGGAATGCTGTTGTCGCAAACTCTGAAAAGTCTTTCTTATTCTCATAGAGGTCTCTCTCTATATTTATGGAAATAGGCTTTTTCAGTCGATGAAAGTCATGTAAACTAATATTTTACAACAACTCTTTTATGAACAGTCTGTGGAGTATATTACAATATAGTTTTATATGGGTTTGTTATCCGTATTAGAAAAGCCAAGGCATCTGGAAACTGAAACTATTGCTTATTTGTTAATCTTGCTTTTGATTTTACTCACTAAAGCTTGTAGTAATATTCAATACACTCTTATTCATATTCTGTAAATATATTTTTCTAGTAACTTTTGTAACTTTTTCGATCCCATGGTGTCGGTTTGAAATGAATTTCTGGGACATCCCTGTATAGTCACTATGCAAAAAACTAACACATACAATTGAAAATGTTCAAAAATACAACAGTAAACGTAAAAACATTGCCCCACACTAGACATTGACACGCAACTCCATGGAAATTTATAAAATTCTAGAATGAGCATAAACATACAAAAGTATCAAATTCCGAGGTCATCAGGAGGCCGACGATTATGGGTTGGTTTGAAATGCGCATATTTTACAAGAATGCTTACGTTTACATGTATAGACAATATTTTGACAAAGTATTGGGAATGTTTGAAAGCTGAATACTGAAGGCTCATATGTATATAGGGGTTTTTTTCCCCTATTGGTTACTCAATACTCAATAGGGGTTTTTTTTAAGGGCGGATAATCATCGAATGACTGCTGCTGCCTGCCTGGGTGAGGCGGGAAGGAGTGTCAGACTCTTACTGACTAAAAACCACCCCGTTCCTTCTCCTGCACGTCGAGCCGGAGCCCCGGTTACCCGTTAGGTTCGCCGCAACTCCGAATCGGCACCGGCCCGTGGGCCCCATCTGTGGTGGTCTGATGGCTCTTTGAGGCGCGCGCGGAATGCGACGCGCCGTTATTCAATAGGGTAGGTGACTAATTATATTTTAATGTCCGTCTGGTAGATTATTTAAAAACATTAGACGCTTATTTTTTATTTTCTAACGGAAACGAATAGTTTCGAAGATATATTTGAAATATCGCATGACGTTACTTTTGAGTACGATTTATACTCTAAAATGACGTAGCTACCTCCCACTCCTAAACTCTGATTCATTTTATGTAAGTATTGTTTTCTCATACAACAAAATAAAAAATACGTGTTTAATATTTTTCATTACTTAACTGACGTACTAATTACAGTTTTAATTTTCATACCGTCATCATCCTTATTTTAAGTTGAACTTACATATCGTGGCATCTCTAATTTGTAGTGACAGAACACTTCAGCACGATTTAAAATTGAGTGGCGATTGAGTATTTCGACAAAAACTTTTATACTTAAACGTAAATCCAAGAACTAAGAACAAGGTTGCCCGACAATATATACGAGCATCAGCACCGGACAAGTACAAAGCATCGAGTGAAGACCGAATCAAATCAGAGCTTTTAAAAAGGTTTAGATAACTGATACTGAACCCTTCGGAAGCTATTTGACAGAAGAGAGAAGAAAGTGCAGTGATGACCTTTATTAAGAAAGAAGACCACACATTACTGAAGAATTACAGACTTATCCTATTTCTGAGCTAGACTATGAGTGGGTTGTGATACTATACAGCGGTGTCATGTGGCGGTACGTATATGATTTTGAGACAAACACGACTCAGTCGATTTCTGTAATGGAGCAACGCACAAGGCATATTCCTCTGCATCGAGGTGTAACGCAAACAGACGACCCAATAAAATCTCCAAAACTGTTAACCGCTGCTCTGGAAGACGCCTTCAAATTCTTAAAATGGAAAGGATCAGGCATGAATATCAAGAGCGAGTAGATCGCATGTAAGTGACTTATTATGGAGCCATTTGTAACTAAATACTCCATCATTCTGGCTGGGAACACAGACCTCATGAATGTTCCAAGTAACTCGATTTGGAAACTCCTGGTACTTTTATAGCTTACATAGCAAAAGCATCTAATTTTAGTCACTACTTACGTCATCTTTATAAAACTGACTTAGGGCCTACTTCACAATGTCTGGTCCGCTATGTACCAGATAAAGAATTAAGAATGTAATTGTATGAACTATCTGTCACATAAGTTTATCAGGTACCTATATGAAGGCGGTGAAACAGACGTTTAACAATTTTCCGATCACTTATAACGTTGTTATTTTCACCCACACATCAAACTTAGCCTAAACAATAAGCAGCTACCGACCTGTTATTTAGCCACGGGCTTTTTCTATCAATAAATACAAACAAGCTATCTTACATGTTCACTATCATCTTTCAAACTAATTACAGCCATTTCGACTTCCCACACTTATGTCCAAATACTCAAACGCCACTGTTACGCGCGTTTAAGTATATTTCTGTCACTACAAATACTTTGTAAAATGACAGAGATGGCACGATATTTAAGAACAACAAGAAATTGAGTAGCCTTTCGGTATTCGGGCGTTAGTTCATAAACCAAAACACAAACGCTCTTAGACATTTCAATTTTTTTAGTAATGAGACATCAATACATCAATGTTTTGAAATACAAGTTAGCAGAAGCAGACATAACAAGTGGTCTAGACTTTTTACGAAGGTACTCAATTGTTTTTAGACAGATTTCTGACTGAAGGTGTTCTGGAGAAGTAGGTACTTAGTAGAATAATGACGAAAATATTAAAAAAATATGATTTTCTATGATTTGAGCTAAAAACTTAAAATTTGTCTTCCTTTGAGATGTTTAAGAGAAAAAATGCTACTGCAGACAATGGCGGTCTAATAACGACGTTAAAGCGTCTCAAAATTGTAATGTTTGAAATCCGAATGTTTGAAATAACGGCTGCTAAAACTAGTACGATAAATATTAGTAATCAAATACTTATGATAGTACTTTAGTACTTTAGTGGTTTTTAGACCACCTTAAGATGATGGCCGAGTCACCATCACTAGTCTCCCTGCAAAAGTTGTAAGAGCCAACCTTCGATCAATAACAGTACAACTACAATCCCACCCGTAGCAAAATTAAAGACTACAGTTAATCCTATTTTTGGGCACCCTTATATGGGCATACTTATACGGGCTATTGATTTCATGTGAGAGCAAGTTAAGTAGATAAAATAAGCCTTTCCCACTGACCTTGACGGCTTCTTCTACGTCATCATCTCTAGAAGCCTTGGCTAAACTTTTTTTCATCAGCTGGTACATAGTCTCCCGCCTGAGATAGCCTTCACCCAGAAGGTCGTAGCACTAAAATCAAAATACAAAGTACTTGACAAAGTTCAAACTTTTTATATGCAACTGCTGAGACCGAGGTTGACCTATGATCGAACGCAAGAGGAATTCGCTTGTTAGGTCAACCAAGCAAAATGTTGAGTTAATTCTGTTTTTAAAAATTCCTGGTAGTAGCTCAAAGTTTGTCTGTACCAAGTTCCCAATATCTTGTGCAGATAGAATACTATTATAAGCTCGCTCTTTATTATATTGGGTTACAGGTTTTTTTTTTTTTAAGGGGGGCAATCATCGAATGACTGCTCCCGCCTGGGTGAGGCGGGAGGGAGTGTCAGACTCTTACTGACTAAAAACCACCCCGTTCCTTCTCCTGCACGTCGAGCCGGAGCCCCGGTTACCCGTTAGGTTCTCCGCGACTCCGAATCGGCATCGGCCCTATTGGGCCCCATCTGTGGTGGTCTGATGGCTCTTTGAGGCGCGCGCGGAACGCGACGCGCCGTACGCTCGGGTCTGTTTCTGGTCGGACGGGGAGCCACCCATGCTCGCCGTCCGCAGGCCCGCGCTTACGGTGGCCGGAGATCGTCCCGCGATCCCCGACGCCCGGTGTGTCCTTCGCGATGGCTGGGTTGCGAGGAGGCAGCGCTTCGCTGCCTCACGCGTCCCGCCTCCTCCTTAGCTAGCATGACTGCTTCGCAAAAGGAGGAGACGGCATCCCAATCCCCCTCGCTCCGCATCATGGCCTGCACTAGGCCCGGACGCGAGAGGTCGCCATCGCCGATCACTTCCCTGAGGACACGGCGGTGCTCAGCCCACGAAGGGCATTCTCCCACCGTGTGTTCCACCGTGTCCTCAGGGCGGTCCTCGCAGTGATGACACCCGGACGTTTCCTCCCGCCCCATCAGACACAGGTACCTCCCGAAACTTCCATGTCTGGTTAGGTCCTGCGTCAGGCGGTAGGTGAGGACGCCGTAGCGTCTCTCAAGCCACTCCTCAAAGAGGGGACTTACCGCTGCGATGGCAGTGAGCCCAGCCCTCGGTTGCGACAGTCGTTGCTGCCATTCCGCCATGAGATCGCGCCGGAGCTCATCCCGCCACGCACTTATCTGGCGCGGCAGCGGAGTTTCGCCCCGGCGACGTGCCTCCGCGCGCATGCTGTGCACGTGCAACCCAGTGCTCGCGTGCACAGCATGCGCGCGAGCACTGGGTTACAGGTTAAGTCGATCTAAATGTTTAGTAGGTAGTGGTGGAAGTATTCATTATTCCTGACCGATTTGACTAAGGTACCCCATATCCCAAACTTCACCGTACTCAAGATTAAATTAGACGACCTATTTGATTTGATCGACGATATACAATTAAACTTCATTCATGACATGTGGTTTCATCACGTTTCAGTGAGTGGCTGGACACTAAATATCCTAATAAGTGCATTGGAAGAGATGGCCAGCCTGGAGTCCAGGCTTGACCCCCTGTGGAGTTTTATATGTGAGGTCGCAAGAATTAAATTTGCGTACAATGAACCGAATCCAATACAATTGATTGAGGTTTTAAGACAATCAATTATATAAATGAATTATATCAGATCATAAATTATACACATATTTAAATTGTTTTATTTTGTTTTCTGATTCGAAACAACGCTTCTTAGTATTTATGACTCCTAGTAGTTAAATTAAACACTTAGAAAAAATTAAAAGGCTATGTATTAATAACTAGCTTCTGCCAGCGGTATGGCTCGCGTTACCGGAGGTAAAAATTACCCTACAGAGACATATTTTCACATGTATAATATCGGATCAAGCTAATTTTGACCTTCGGCCCTACGTTTACAGCGTAAAGTTCTCTGCAGAAAACCGAAAAGTCGACAAACTTATATTTGCGTTTGGTACAGTAACTGTGTCTAAGGATTGACCCGCACAGTTAAGTTTGTTTTTTTTTTTTGTATATATACTATTTCGGGATAAAAGTAACTAGTGTTGTGCCTAGAATATTGAAGTATAATCACATAAAGTTTCATCGTAATCAGACTGGTAGTTTTTGCGAGATGCGTAAATAGACACACAGAAAAAAAATTAAATACATTTTTAAGTTCGATTTTTATCTATCTAGTAACACACCAACTATTTATTTTTTAATCGTTTCAATGTACAGAATTTACACTTCTACAGTTTTATTATATGTAAAGATTATAATATTTTTCAATGTCCTTGCTTATATTGCGGTATCTCTAGATGAATTCACTCCATAAAAGTATGCAAACAAGCAATTAGTTTAATCAATGTTTGTGCATAGTCTAGCCAGATTGTTTAGGATAACTAACTTAGAAGGCTGAGTAAATATTTCAATTTGAACAATTCAAACAACTATGCTACATTTATTTCCGTATAGGTAAAGATTAGTTGAAACTACAGTCACGACAACCACGAGATAAGTCTATATTCAATTCATCGTCAGTCTGTGCCTCCTGAACTGATTTGTGATCACCCAGATTGATAAGTAGGTTGGACATTGCGGTTTAGTAGGTTCGTACTTATCAAACAGCACTGCTGCCCTGCCACGGTAATTAGGTGATATTATGGTGTGATCACCAACAGCATCTTATAAACTATGATTAGTTCTTATAAAAAATGAATAGATCTTATAAACCCAGTAATACTTTGCCCGACCTAGGAATCGAACCCGAAACGCGTTGCCCGGCAGTCGCACTTGCGACCACTCGTCCAACGAGCGGTCAAGAATTGAGAATCAATTGTGGTAATTTAATTACACATGAAGTCAATTTAATTGATAATAGTTCCTGGTACAGTTGATTTACTGATAATTCGAAAATAAAGATCACAATAAAACATTGGTATCTTGAGAATCGAGCCTGAGACACGTAACCAACAACTCAGTTACAGATATCATGTTATGTTCTATTACTATCATCACATCACTCCGATAAATAGCTAGAATTAGACTACGACTACTTTACATCACAATGTACATACATATCTGGCTCTTTGTTGGAGTGCTTGCAAGAGCGTCTACTAAATAGTCGATATTTAGACCATTTCCCAAAAAAAACAATGGATATAAACCCACTAACACTAATAAAAATGTCTGACTGAACCAATATAATTCAAGATGAAATAAAGTATTTACAAAGCACAGCGAAAATTCACTTGCAATAACTGCGGAAAAATGTGCAAGTCTTGCACGCTGGGTACCAGGCGAGCAGTTGTTTGAAAGAGGTCTATCTCAATAAAGTTACTGTTGTTTTACGTAGAAAAGGAAAATATTAATAATTTTATGTTTATTTTGTTTTAATTAAAAACGATGACAATATCCCTATTAAAATATTTAAAAACATAACATAACATCACGCCTTTTATCCCCGAAGGGGTAGGCAGAAATGTACATTATGCCACTGTACAATTGAACACCCAGTTTTCACTATTTTTGTTATGAGTCCCATGTAATAGGGGTGAGTACTACTTTGCCTGACTCGGGAATCGAACCAGAGACCCCTTGCCCGACAGTCGCACTTGTGACTAGTAGGTCAACGAGGCAGTCAGTCCTTTTAAAATAATAATGAAAATTTTTATTTTGATTTGATCAGGTACTCACAGTGAAAGCATATTGGATGCGTTCTTCCAGGTCGCCTCGAAGATACAGAGACATGGCTTTGACGAATGTAGCCATTGTTACATGGGGTGACGTACCACGATCCAAAGCTACCATCACGCGCTCCATCATATAAGCGTCTGTCATCCCTAAGCCGTTGTGCAGAACATCCCTGAAGTGACTCCTGTTTACAGAACAATATAATAATTGTCAACAAACATCATACAATTACTTTGTAACACATATGTTCTATTACAATACCCATTTTTAGCCAGTTATAATTGGTGAGCCTATACCAGAAATTTTCCCAAACTCTTTATTACCACGGAAAATTTTGAAAAACCGGAAATAATACCTACTTTGCTTAACCCAATATTACTATTTAAAGTGGGTATTTTATTTAGTTTGTCCACATCTATTCCTCACTATTATAGAAATAAATGAAATGAGTAGCTACTGTTTTATACTTATACATATTTATCTTCATTAAAATTGCCCAAATTACTAGCCTAATGTAAGATAGAATAATAAATAATGTAGCCTAGTTTATACAGTTCAGACTCAGTTTATACAGACTCAGTTCATACAGTTTGACTGCCTCATTAAAAACAATGTATCCACATAATAATTTATAAGAGAAACAAATAATTCCTTTTAGTTCCATCCGCTAATAAAGAGAAAATGAAGCCATGCACAGCGCCAGTTGCAAAATATCCAATGAAATGTGCAAGTCTTGCGCGCCGTGTACCAGGGCTGCAGTTGTTTAAAGGAGATTCGTCGACTATTTACGTTAAGCTCACCTCACGAACCTTCACGAATAGTTACAAACAATACGATGTAAGTATTTCTCTATTTACCACTCCAGGTAATAAAACGTGTCATGTTATGTTTTTTATAATTAAAATTAAATTAAATAATATAATAGACATAGTAGGTACTTGCCTAAATCAAAATTAATTGTAAATAATTTTGAAAAATATTTCAACTTATCAAGTACACTATTTCTAATTATAAGTTTGAAATCACCAATTCGTTTTCGTTTTGACCAAGCTCGGTGATTAATATTTATTTCTTATTTGTGTGAGCAGAGGTTTTTTTCAGTAGTGAGCACTTTATAAGCTGATGAGATTAATATAATCATCATTACATCATTAGTCTATAAATATCCCACCGCCGCTGGCTGAAAACCTACTCTCACACGGAGAAAGAACGACCAATAATCACCACACTTGTTCAAGGTGGTGGTGGCGGAAGTTTATGACTTGAAATAATATCTAGATATATATCTATCTCATTAGTGTCAAACAAAACTTAAAAAGGACATGTAATTTGGAAAATATCTCATTGGTGCTTGCTTGCCAGATATCGAACCCACACCCTGTTACCTGAAAAGCGGAAGTCTCAATCTCCTGAGTTAACCGCGGCGATGAATAAATAATTCACCCACTTGCAATATTTCCGAGGAAATGTGCATGTCTTGCACACCAGGTACCAGGCGGGCAGATATTTAAAGGAGGTCTATTACGACAATGATCACATAAAGTTGCAAAGTCCCCTACAGAGTGATTTTATTTTATCTCAACAACATCAACAGTCGCGGCAGTCCATTGCTATAATAATTAATAATATATACAATGATATTGATTGGTTGAGGCAGTTTAACATTAAAATTAGTAAACAATACCAAGAAAATTAAGTTAAAAATTATGTTACATAGCGAATTCGTCAGAAATTAACTAAACACATTAACTAAATTAATGGTAAATTGCTTTTTTTAATTTAGTTATTTATATAACTCATTGTAATAATAAATTATTTTGCATAATTATGTTTTTTGTTTGTTGGTAGAAGATAACTTCGTTTATTATTAAGAAAAAGTTTGATCCGAAGTTTCTGTTTGTTTTTATAATAATATAGTCATTAAGTCTGTAATTTTATACCTATTGTACAAAAAGTGTAAAAAAATAAAATAAACAAATGAATATAGGTATAAATCGAGCGCTATTCCAGCCGTCAAACTGTCATAATAGTTTGGTGGCTTTATATACATATACAAATAAAGGATTTTATTATTATTATTTATTTAACTTAATAGGCCTCCTGTACATTTTGCTTTGACTCCCACACTTGGCATGCGGGTTAGCGATCGTAGTGTTCTTAAAAGATTTAGATTTATCAGAGAGCGCAACTATGGGAAGTGATCACATATATATTGTATTATAATTTGCAAACACTTCAAAGTTTTCGGTTTCAGAGACTGCCTCGTTTGCCGAGTGGTCGCAAGTACGACTGGCCGGGTATGGGGTCTCGGGTTTGATTCCCGAGTCGAGCAAAGTATTACTAGGTTTAAAAAAGAATCTCAGTATTAGCACGGAGTCTGGAAATGATCCCGGTACATGGCAATAGGCGCACCCCTATTACATGGGACTCATAACATAAATAGTGAAAAGTGGGTGCCGTACCGCATGTGCACCTCTGCCTACCCTTTCGGGATACAAGGCGTGATGTTATGTTTATATCAAAGTTTGCTGTTATTTATCTTAGGATAATTAATAACTTCCTCCGATACCTAGTTGCAATATTTCCAAAGAAATGTGCAAGTCTTGCACACCGGGTACCAAGCGAGCAGTTAGTTAAAGGAGGTCTATCGAGAGTTGACTTTACGTTACATAGATCCAATACGACGTAAGTACATAATAATTATGTTGTATGTCTACCACTGCAGTAAGTAAAAGGTGGGATTTGATGATATTTCATACATATTAATAGTGTTCTGGACTGTACGCGTCCTCTTCATAAGAGGTGTTTGCTTTGTCGAAACGTTAAAAGTCAAATCATGTTTATTAACCGACTTAAAAAAAGGAGGAGTGAGTTCGACCGTATATGTTTTTTACACTAGGATTTTCTCCAATGTTGTCAATACGTTTACAAACATACAGGTTCACATACACTTGACACCCAGACCCAGAACAAGGAATCAAAGCCGCTACACGTTGCGTGGCAGCCGGATGCCTAGCCACTATGTCAACCGTGCAGTCCATTTATTTCAATTTTAAAACAATAGCCCTTAGGCCAATATAAGGCACTTTGAAACGTCAAAAAATATAAAAAGTGTCAGAGTCTATCGGTCAGTTCTATAGTAAAACTATTTGTTCCTATAACAAAGAACGATATGATCTCCACACTTGGCAAACGGGTTAGAGATCGCGCTGTTTGACGGGTTTAGAGATCTTCGAGATCGGGATTTATCAGAGAGCACTATTGCCCGATCTGATTCTAAATCCGTAGATTTAGTTATATTTACCCGCGGAAAGAGCAGGGGTGGCGACAAAGTGTAATCAACTCTGGCTTCACCACAAAGGTTCAGTTAGTTGCCATCCACTTGCAATATTTCTTCGGAAATGTGCAAGTCATGCACATCTGATACCAGGCGCGCAGTTATTGAGAGGAGGTCGATTACCGACATTTCAAATACTTCGTACATAATGTTGTCTCTCTATTTGTTCCAGCAGTAAATTAAAGGAGCGATTTAATGTTATTTAGAATTTCAATAATATTACGGTTATTCGCCAAATATATTCGTAAAACTACACTTTTTACAGTTTACGGTATTAATTGTACAGTATATGTTCAGAAGGACAAATTATTGCTCTAACCCAAGTATGCTAAACTTTAGGTTTTCCATAAAATGTCGTAATTGAAAAGAAATATTTTTATATCAGCCAAACTTAATATACATAAAATCAGAGGTACACAGGGAAATCCCTGTGTACCTCTGATTTTTTAAGTTTGACTTATTGAATTATACTATATTTTGTAGTATATTTTTAGGTATATTTTATTATATGCATTCATCATTTAGGAACGTTTGACAGAGTTGTAGTCCCAACGGCTTTTCCTACAATGGGGTAGACGACTAATTTTTATTTTAATGTCCGTCTGGTAGATTATTTAAAAACATTAGACACGTATTTTTTATTTTCTTACGGAAACGAATAGTTTCGAAGATATATTGATTTGAAATGTCGCGTGACGTCACTTCTCAGTACATTTTATACTAAGAAATGACGTTTTAGCCCCCACTCCTAAACTTTGATTCGTTTTATCTAAGTATTGTTTTATTATACAACAAAATAAAAAAATACGTGTCTAATATTTTTTTATTACCTAAGTTACGGACTAATTATATTTTTAATTTTCATACCCTGTCATCATCCACATTAATATCATGTTCACTTTTAGAACTAGATCATAAGTATACCTATGATGATACAAGCTTTAACAAGCTGAGAAGATTATAAAATAATTTCTAATTGGGTAAATGACTAATTTTCATTTTAATGTCCGTTTTAGTACATTATTTTTAAACATTAGACACAAATCTTTTATTTTTTTCCAGAAACAAATACTTTCTACGATACCTATACTGATTTTAAATGCCGCGTGACGTCACTTCTATCTACATTTTATACATAGAAATAACGTTCTAGCTCCTACTCCTAAACTTTGATTCATTTTATCTAAGTATTATTTTATTATACGACAAAAATAAAGAAAAATCCTTTCTAATATTTTTCATTACCTAACTGACAGACTAAATAGATTTTTAATTTTCATACACTGTCATTATCCGTATTATTGCGATAAATCAAAACGATTGTACATAGTAACAATACAAATATCTTTGAGTTTAAAAACTTTAGTGGAACATAGTTTTTATCAACATGTTATTGTAATTATTAATATAAAATGAAGTAAAGTAGGCATTATAAAACGATAAGTCAGTAATTCTATTTTAGCATAAAAGTTTATCAGCAAGTCAATAAATCATGAGATAATCTAATGGATGGTCGATAGTTTATACAGAATATTATAATCATCCACACAAGGTATTAAATAATTTAATTATTAACAACCGCAGCCCTACGATTTTGTCCTCTATCGTGGGTGCGAGAAACGTACTAATGTACATACACATTATACCCAGATCCAGAAAAAAAACTAGGATCAGCAATCTGTGAATCACACGAATAGTTATCCCGTGTGGGAATCGAATGCCATGCGGCGACACCGCGACAAGTTGCGCAACAGTCTGGCCCGACATTGATACGAACACCAACTTCAAATTAGACTTTCAATTCACTCTACACCTTCGGATAAATAACACGCGTGATTTTATATCAA